GTCGAAAAAGTGCACGCCGTTGTGGCGCGAAGCACATTTCCAAGTCAAAATGTACAAAACACCTCAGCTTCGGACCACTTTTTGAAGTTCAGATGTCGAAAAAGTGCACGCCGTTGTGGCGCGAAGCACATTTCGAAGTCAAAAGTGTTAAAAACTGACGGTCTCGGACCACTTTTGGAGGTTCAGATGTCGAAAAAGTGTCGAAAAAGTGCACGCCGTTGTGGCGCGAAGCACATTTCGAAGTCAAAAGTGTAAAAAAACTGAGGGTTTTGAGCCTTTTTTGACGTGAAGATGTCGAAAAAGTAGACGCTGATTAACTTAACTAACTTGACTAACTTAACTAACTTCACTAACTTAACTATCCTAACTTCGACGACAACAGCAACAACAACAGCAACAACAACAACAACAACACCAACACCAACACCAACCACAACAACAACAACACCAACCACAACAACAACACCAACCACAACAACTACAACTACAACAACTACAACTACAACAACTACACAACAACTACAACTAGAACTACAACTACAACAACAACAACAGCAACAACAACAACAACAGCAACAACAACTACAACTACAACAACTACAACTACAACTACAACTGCACAACAACTGCAACTAGAACTACAACTACAACAACTACAGCTACAACAACAACAACAGCAACAACAACTACAACAACAACAACTACTACTACTACAACAACAACAAGTACTACTACTACTACTACAACTACAACTACAACTACAACTACACTACACAACAACTACAACCACACAGCAACTACAGCTACAACTACAACAACAACAACAACTACAACTACAACAAGTACAACTACAACTACAAAACAACTACAGCTACAACTATGTGACTGCAACTACACTACACTAATTACATTACACCACAACTACAACTCCACTACGCTACAACTACAACTACAGTTGCAGTACATCACACTACATCCAGCAGTTGTGGGTGAGGTGACCACTGCAACCATTGCAACCATTCCAGCAAACACAACTCCAACCATCTTTCGGTCAATCAGTGGATTCGCTCTGCCATCCGTGATTCACAACAATCAATCTCTCCTATAGGTTTCCTATTTTTGAAACTTCCGCCACCGCCTTGTGCGGTACTACTGGTATTAGACTTTTGGCCTCAATGTTAACATAACTTGATCTTAGACCTTGTCTGCCTGGCTGAATCTGCACATGCGTTTGGGGGTCGGTCAAATAAATCTGTCAGCAGAGGGTTCCCTGTGATCGGGCAGCTTCATGCTGTGGCGACGCTGTGTAACACCCTTTTTCAGTGTGTTCCCTTGCATTTGTTGTCCAATTTTGTTGGAACCATCAAGTTGCGAACCATCACTTTTAGCTTTTGAAAGAAGAGTGACACGTTGTTTCACGAAGACATCCCCAAAGATTCTCGAATCTTGTTCAAGTCTTGACACTTCCAACACTGACACAAAATCATCCAAAGGGGAAACAGCAACAAAAATTGATCAGGTTTCTGGATGTTTCTGGATATAAAATATAAAACTCTATATTATACAAAGATGTTGAGATATATTGGGTCTACCATGAATGCATTGTATAAAAGCACTCTGCTGCTGTATCATATGCGCCAAGAATACAATTCTAGACCTTGACATCTCTCTGTGGGCCCGCGCAGTGTCCGAAAAAACGCACGTACATGCACCTCATGCACGGTTGCTGCACGCTCAACATGCAAAGCCATCCCCAAAGATTCTCACATCTTGTTCAAGTCTTGGCACTTCCAACACTGACACAACAACATCCAAAGGGTAACAGCAAAAACAAACTTGATCAGGTTTCTGGATGTTTCCGGATATAAAAAATACATTTTTAAAAAAAACATGTTGAGATATATTGGGTCTATCATGAATGCATTGTATACAAGCACTCTGCTGCTGTATCATATGCGCTAAGAATATAATTCTAGACTCCTAGACCTTGACATCTCACTGTGGGCCCGCGCAGTGTCCGAAAAAAACGCACGTACATGCACCTCATGCACGGTTGCTGCACGCTCAACATGCAAAGCCATCCCCAAAGATTCTCAAACCTTGTTCAAGTCTCGACACTTCCAACACTGACACAAAAACAACCAAAGGGAAACAGCAACAAAAATTGATCAGGTTTCTGGATGTTTCTGGATATAAAATATAAAACTATATATTTTACAAAGATGTTGAGATATATTGGGTCTACCATGAATGTATTGTATAAAAAAGCAGCTCTGCTGCTGTATCATATGGATTAAGAACATCATTCTAGACCTGTACTGCGCGTCTCACTGTGGTCCCGCACCGCTTCCAGAAAGGAAACTGTGGTAGCAACCTGGGTCTGAAATCAAATCCTTTTTTCCCCCTCACCCTGGGATAATACCAACTTTGTCTCCACAACATGATGTTTGGCCTCAGGTGTGAGGCCATACCTTCAAAACAAACAATGATCGTCTGCATTATTAAGGGAAATCATCCAGTCCAAAATTCTCTAAGCTGCGTCTGGCAAACACAACAGCATCCAAAGGGAAAGAACCAAAAAAACTTGATCAGGTTTCTGGATGTTTCTGGATAAAACATTTAAAACTATATACTGTATTATAAGAAGATGTTGAGATATATTGGGTCTATCATGAATGCATTGTATAAAAGCACTCTGCTGCTGTATCATATGCGCCAAGAATATAATTCTAGACCTTGACATCTCTCTGTGGGCCCGCGCAGTGTCCGAAAAAAAACGCACGTACATGCACCTCATGCACGGTTGCTGCACGCTCAACATGCAAAGCCATCCCCAAAGATTCTCAAACCTTGTTTCAAGTCTCGACACTTCCAACACTGACACAAAAACATCCAAAGGGAAACAGCAACAAAAATTGATCAGGTTTCTGGATGTTTCTGGATATAAAATATAAAACTATATATTTTACAAAGATGTTGAGATATATTGGGTCTACCATGAATGTATTGTATAAAAGCAGCTCTGCTGCTGTATCATATGGATTAAGAACGTCATTCTAGACCTGTACTGCGCGTCTCACTGTGGTCCGGCACCGCTTCCAGAAAGGAAACTGTGGTAGCAACCTGGGTCTGAAATCAAATTCTTGTTTCACAAAACCCTGGGATAATACCAACTTTGAATCCACAACATGATGTCAGACCCCCAGGTGTGAGGCCATACCTTCAAAACAAACAATGATCGCCTGCATTATTAAGGGAAATCATCCAGTCCAAAATTCTCTAAGCTGCGTCTGGCAAACACAACAGCATCCAAATGGAAACAGCAAAAAACAACTTGATCAGGTTTCTGGATGTTTCTGGATAAAACACATAAAACTATATATTATAAGAAGATGTTGAGATATATTGGGTCTATCATGAATGCATTGTATAAAAGCACTCTGCTGCTGTATCATATGCGCTAAGAATATAATTCTAGACTCCTAGACCTTGACATCTCACTGTGGGCCCGCGCAGTGTCCGAAAAAAACGCACCTACATGCACCTCATGCACGGTTGCTGCACGCTCAACATGCAAAGCCATCCCCAAAGATTCTCAAACCTTGTTTCAAGTCTCGACACTTCCAACACTGACACAAAAACATCCAAAGGGAAACAGCAACAAAAATTGATCAGGTTTCTGGATGTTTCTGGATATAAAATATAAAACTCTATATTATACAAAGATGTTGAGATATATTGGGTCTACCATGAATGTATTGTATAAAAGCAGCTCTGCTGCTGTATCATATGGATTAAGAACATCATTCTAGACCTGTACTGCGCGTCTCACTGTGGTCCCGCACCGCTTCCAGAAAGGAAACTGTGGTAGCAACCTGGGTCTGAAATCAAATCCTTGTTTCACAAAACCCTGGGATAATACCAACTTTGGATCCCGTGCAGAGGTCTATATTGATTTTTCCTTCTGAAGTTTTCCCCAATGTTTCCGTTGTTTGGGTGAGGGGGCCACATATCTTAGACCTTTTCGGTGGACACCTAAGCCTTTTTTTGAACGTATATTTTAGACATACCTGCAGAGCAATACAACTTGATCTTAGACCCCGTTTTTAAGGTCTATTTTGAACTTTCCACTAGTACCTGGGCAGTAGTTGATGGTATACTAAATCAAGGTCCGCGAATCATACCCACGAATCATACCCCGAATCATACCCACGAATCATACCCCCTAGTCAAACTTCCCGGGTTGGACACGGTATTTTGAGACATACCCATATGTTCACCCTATTCTTCCGTCAAGCATGGTTTTTCTCAATATTTTCAAGTTTTTCTTGACTCTTTGTTGGGTTTCTCTTCGTATGTTTAACTTGCCCTCCCTTTCATCAAGGTTTTTCTTCATATTCCCAAATTGTTCTTGGTTTTTTGCTAGGTTTTTCTTCATATGTTCAACCTCTTCTTCCTTTCACCATGGCTTTTCTTCGTATTTTCCAGTTTTTCTTGACTTTTTGCTGGGTTTTTGCCCACTGTCAAGCATGCCTTAAGATGATTTTGTCAAGCAGAGCAATTTTTGTGCATATATGCAGCAAATTATGCATGTTAATTTTTCTATCTTCTATATATCGGCACGCTATTTCCACACAATTGGTGTATCATCAATGCTTGATGCGCATTTTTGATGTAAATACCAGCACGCTCCTAAAGTTACAAGGCACATTTAATGTTCTGTAAATATCAAAATGCATTTTTCCACCATTTTTGCAGCATGCCCCTAAAGATAGAAAAATTAGACCCGGGACCCGGCCCTCCTATTTCCAGACGTCGGACTTTTCTAGTTTTTCCGAACCACTATATATTTGTTTATATATGTGTATAAATATATATATATATATATATATATTTATACATATTACACGTACGCTGTGTTTGCCTATGTTGTATTTTTCTATGCAGTACACATGTGCAGAGGGTGTGCGTATTCTTGTTCTTGAGGTAGTCTTAATGACAGGAACTCATGGAGGCCTACCCAAACGCTAAAGTTCTTCTGACGGTGCGCGATCCGGAGAAGTGGTATGACAGTGCCATTCGACAGCAGGATACAGTTCGACATGTTGGGTTAAAATCGCCAGAGACACTGGGATCTCTGGACCTGTGGAAAAACACATCAGAAACAAACATTTTAAACAGATTTAAAAGTAAATTTTCGCTGCACTGCACATCATGCCACATCCTTTCTTGAGGTTGACATTTGATTTCCCCTCCGACTCGTGGTGCTTTACTGACCTCCGCAATCGTCACAAATCATAGGCCTTTTTTTGGCCATTTATCTGGGTTTATCAATGTTTGGCTTGGATTGGGGAAAGACCACTGAGGCTATCGAGACAATTTGGTCATGGCGCTGCACAGAGCAGCACTGGGCTGCGAGGGTTTTCGAAAATGGCCGCAAATTCCAGGAACCCAAGCCTGCCCCAGCAACATTTTCCAGCATTTCCACCGAAAAAATGCATAGAATGTCATTAAATAAAATCATAGCATTACATTTAAGACTATTTAAGAACCAAAAAGCACATACCGCGATAGACAGACAGAAAGACAGACAGACCAGACCGACCGACAGACCAGACCGACCGACAGATAGATAGATAGACAAACAACTGAATGTGAGTATACAAGCGTATTTGTTCAAATCTATTCAATGTTCGCGTAAATCTCCAAATTTGTTGTTTGTTCAAACAAGCTCTTATTGGTTGGCATTGAGGTTTGCACTAGTTTGTGTAACATGTTCATGGGGCCATTCCGGCCCCTCTTGGAACTTCTGGCCAGCTGGATATGACTGATGGTCAACAGCAAGACAATCATGAATGATTCCCAGGTTTCTAATACACTGAGGGTGTGCATTTTCATGTTCTAGCAGAGTATAGCAGAGTTGTTTATACGAATTCTTGGGTGATTTTTCCCGTGTTTTCGTGTTCTTCCGTGCGGTTATGGCTTAGGCACAAGCTCAAGCATTCCACAAGGCCACCATGTTGCCTGGCGTGAAGCGCTCCGACCGTGAAGGGTCAATCAAGTCTTTCAATGCCTGGATTGAAAGGGTGAAATCGACTGTGCCTCCAGAGAAGCTCCTCATTTACGATGTGAAGGAAGGATGGGAGCCCCTTTGCAGCCTGGCCTTATCTGTACGTTTTTGGATGCTTTTGGTCAGACTTTGTTTATCATTTTTTGTTTTCGCTTGTTGCGCTGGTCTGGTCTTAGTTTGGCATGGAGCAAGCTTGCAGCAAGCTTGTGCATGTGCGTGTGTATTTGCACAATACCGATGCACTTTCCTGAGGCAAATTCTTGAACAAACCCATTCCGGATGAGGAGTTCCCATACATCAACGACAAGGACGGATGGTTTAAAGTTTAAAGATTCTGACAAGCTGAAAAATCTGAAAACTGGGGTACGGGTCCTTTTATTTTCGCACCTTTGGGCGCCTGCCAGGAACAAATGAAGAACGAACTAAATAAGATTCTGCTGATCCTTGTCATTAAAGCTGCTTAAACCTGCTGTAGGCAGCTTTCTTTTAGATTTGATTTTGTCTCGTGGCCGGTTGGTGAGAAGTTGTGTGATTCTTGATGCGCTGGAACTCAAGGCCTTCAATTTCGATCCATTTCGGTTCATGCTGGAAGAATCTATATGGGTTTCACATGGTTTCATTGAAAATAAGGCACCCCAAAATTCTATTAAAATTCTATGGTTATCCTTCCGATCAACATAGCTATTTTAGGCTATTTTGGGCCATTCCCACTTTCAGACAAACCATGTAATGGATGTGCATGCAGTACAAAGCTTTGTTTATTCCTGAGCTGCAGCTCATTGACGTTCAGAAGTAAAGCATATCAGATATCAAGCCCTTTTGTTTCCAAATCCATCGGACGCTTCTTGTCCCACTCGGTTTCCATGGGTAGTTGCCACCTGTTACGTATCAGGATTTGTTACATTGCTCAGTTCCTCCGCTTGGTTGCTGTCCTGGGTGGGGTGTGGCTATTGGCAGCTCGCAAGCATTTGAATTCTGCTCCAGCTCTCAAGAGTTGCTGATGAAGTCAGTATATACCAGCCACATCCAGCTAGTATCTCAGTACATCTTAGCCTTTACTAGTCTGGCAGCGGCATCGAAAGAGTTGACCAGAATGAAACGGTCAGACAGCGGTTTGCAAAGTCATGCTGAGCACAGAGCAACAGCTAAGGTATGGCTGCTGAGGATGCTCGTGTGAGAGCCTGCTCTCCCTGTCCATTGAACACGTTAGCGCTCAAAGTTATTACTTGACGGGATGACAATCTGCTTGAGCGCGGCTCATGCCCTATTAAATCATGGGCACACCACATTCATGAAAATCAACATGAGTATTCCTAACGCACTGCGTTGGAGTGGAACGAGCCCAAAGAAGGCGGCAGCACTTTCAATGCGATCTCTACACGATTTAAGTGCTTGGACAAAGATTGCTTTGGAAACAAAAGTGGATCATACTATGATCATACCGCCACTTTTCAGGTCCTTCTCGTCAGCATGGATGTCAAGTCGCCAGCTGATGTCGTGAAATGATGTGAAATCAAAGTTCAGGATTTATTCGGACAAGTCCCACTGGAGTGGGGTGAGGGGAAGAATTGCAATTCCCTCACCGTTGTTACACGAAGATTAAAGCTTCCACGGCAAATATGTAACCTCGTTTCTTCCCCACTGATAGAACCACTTAGAATTTATAGCTTGCTTTTTCCTCGCTGGCACCAACACCACTTCTTACATCAAGAGCCATTCCTGCTGTTGGGTGTTCCAAGCTGGCTGCTTCAAACTTGTGTTGATCAGATTTCTGACATGGCTGGCCCCACGCTTGCCTCTTGTCGATGGTTTGGCCTTTATTTGATCGATCATGGATTCTGACAGTTCTGTCAGCTCGTGTGTTTTTGGTCTCCTGCGTGCCTTTCCCACAAAAGTTGCACAGGCACTTCAAGTTTCGTAGTGCGTGCTTGAACCAGCATTCGCGCATATTCATAGTCGCGTTGATGGACGGACCACTTGGTGCTTGGTGCTGCATGTAGAGTATCTGATTTTGCTCGCCCTTAACGGACCCTGCATTTTTCATTTTCTCATCACATGATCTGTGGATTTATATAGGATGATTTACTGTAGATGGATCAGGCGAGCATATCAACCTGCCCCCTTCAGCCAGCTCTGATGTACAATAATACCGAATACCTTCAAGTACCCCTCCCCAGGATCATCCTCACTCCCTCTCTCTCTCTCTATCTCTATCTCTCTCTCTCTCTCTCTCCCTCTATCTCTCTCTCTCTCTACTTATAGTACTATGCCTACAGCCAAAGCAGGTCCATTTCATACTTGTGGTATCTGGTGGTATCATGGCTCGCTCAGGCCTTTTGATGGAACTTCGACAGTCTTGTTCCTCCATGTTTGGTTCCGCAGCTCCACCTTGTCAAAACTGAATATTGTGCAGATTTGTGCAGCAAACTTTGGATTCATTGAATGGACTCCATGGACAGCAAAGCGCATTTCCAGATTTTTCATGATTTTTCTAGAGCTCAATCTTGCGCACTGTACTCCATATTAAATGTTAAGGTGTGCATGTGATGTCCACTCATGGATGTGTCCTTGCCCATACTTGTTGGAAACACAAAGGCACACAGGCCAAGACTACGGAACGGAAGCCTTTGACCAAGTTAAAGTGCCCTCCAAAGCGACAGTGCTTGTCTAAGGAGTGTAGTAATGTGCAGTGCCCGGAGTTGGCTGTTGGAAAAACGCCCAGACTCTAGGACAGTTGAGTCAACACGAGTCAACCTTGCCCTGTCAAGGCTGGTGAGGGGGATCGCATCCAACTGGCATCACGATGGGAACTGATGTCACAGGCACAGCTGAAAGCTCTACACTGCTCTACAGAATAGCACCGGGAGAAGATTGGTGATGCACATAAGATTACATAAGGAATGTACACAAGGCTCTAATGTAAGCATGTGATAGGCATGACTTGTGAAGTGTGATAGGAGGTCTGATGAGGGTATGGGTTCCTGGGAACCTAAGACCTAAGTCCTAAGTGTGCTTGAGTTGAGGCATGTTGACGCGCTCTTTGGGATGTTTGGAATTGTTTAGGAATGTCATGGTATGTCTAGATTTCTCTTAGATTCGTAGTTTCGGTTTCGATAGGTTTCGATTGCCATGCCAGGAGCACGCTGCGCTCGATGACCTGGGCTGCTGCTGCACTCCTGGGGCTGAAGGTTGCGACAGCCAAATCGATGTAGGCTCACAGGCCCGTGAAGCAACGTGAAGCATCGTGAAGGTACCGAAGCCATCTGAAGCTAATTAATTTGAAGGCTTACGCCTGACAGCCGGGCGCCGGCCAAGCAACGATTTTTGGCTTATGGTGTGGGAAGATTGGGCCGAGATTCTCCGCGCAAGCCCAGGCAGGGCTATGTTGAACTGAGGTATGGAAGCAGTCTGGGCCTATGTTGAGCGCAGGTTGTGCCCATGTTGGGCCAAGCCGGGCCCATGTTGAGCCATCTTGGGCTTATGTTGGGCCCATGTTGGGCCATCGGGCCCATCTTGGACCTATATGGCTGTGAGTCAAAACGTTTTGGTATTGAACAGGTACTCGTGGATATCCCGTTCAATACCCCGTTCAATAAACAGAAGGGTCCCCATCGTTCAATACCCCCCGTTCAATACCCCGTTCAATACCCTTGTTCAACTGGTGTATTTGCCGTTTTCCTTTGTACTCGTAGTGATTTCCCGCGTGGCAGAGAACAGCATAGAAGCAAAGAGAATGATTGGCAAAATCCAAAATGACCTTTTCCATTTGCTTGCATACTCCACTCATACAGTCATATTGTCGGCTACCGGTTCGGCTACCGGTTCGGCTACCGGTTTTTTGAGGTAGTTCGTTCAATACCCCGTTCAATACCCGTTCAATACCTCACTATAGGCTTTCCAGCTCCGTTGCCCAACTATGCCTCCAAAGTCGGTGCCATTTTGTCACTCCTCACACACACACACACCACACACACCACACACACCACACACACCACACACACCACACACACCACACACACACACACAGGCACACAGGCACACGCACACGCACAAATGTCAACTTCGATCCATTGGTCACGTGGGATGTTTGTTTAGGAAATGCCCTCCGTTCAATACCCCCCGTTATCCCCCCGTTCAATACCTCCCGTTCAATACCCCCGTTCAATACCCTATTGAACAGAAGGCTGCCGCATATCCACCGGGGACCGGGGGTTTTGACACATACCCATATTGGCCCAGGTTGGGCCTATGTTGGGCTATGCTGGGCTCATCTTGGGCCTATGTTGGCCCTATGTGGCCCCATGTTGAGCCATCTTGGGAGCTATGTTGGGGCCATGTTTGGGCCATCTACGGGCGCCGGCCACGGAGCCCGTGTCCTTGCCGGAAGCCTTCGGTGGTAACTGAAGTTCTTTAAGCGCTTACGCGCGACAGCCGGCCAGGGGCCCAACTATGTTGGCCCATCTTGTGGCTATGTTGTCCTATGTTGGCCTAGGTTGGCCTTTTGATGGTTGGCGGCCTATCTTGGGGCGATGTTGGCCCATCTTGGCGCTATGTTGGCCTATCTTGAGGGCAATGTGGGCCCATCTTGGGGCTATGTTGGCCTATCTTGAGGGCAATGTGGGCCCATCTTGCGGCTATGTTGGCCCATCTTGGGGCTATGTTGGCCCATCTGTGGGGCTATGTTGCACCATCTTGAAGCTGTGTTGGCCTATCTTGAGGCCTATGTTGGCCCATGTTGACCCATCTCGAGCCACAAGATCCGAAAAATGGGAACAGCAAAAAACACTGTAAAACGGAGGTACCCGGTCTCCGGCGGCAGGGGCGGCGGCCCCTCTCTCCTACGGAGAGGAGAGATGCCGCACGGCAATGCCACGGCCAGCTCTGGGCCCCACGGGCCCCTGGCCGGATTTAAGCGCTTACGCGCGACAGCCGGCCAAGGGCCCAACTATGTTGGCCCATCTTGTGGCTATGTTGGCCGATGTTGGCCTATGTTGGCCTATCTTGCGGGCAATGTAGGCCCAGCTTGGGGCTATGGTGGCCCAGCTTGGGGCTATGGTGGCCTATCTTGAAGGCTATGTGGGCCGATCTTAAGGCCTATGTCGGCCGATATTGAGGCCTATGTTGGCCCATGCTTGGAGGATCATGCCCCTTACTAAGGGTTAGTCGAAGGTTAGTAAAGATAGTCGTTAGTTACTAGCCATTTAGGTGGCTTATGCTAGTCACTTAGTAACCACTTAGCTAAGGCACTTAGCTAAGTGCATCTTAAGCAGTTAGGCTAAGTAGGCTAAGCCACTTAGAGGGCTTAGGGCTAAGCACTTAGGGCCCCTTAGCTAAGTGCTTAGCTTAAGCTTAGCTAAGTGCTTAGCTAAGGCTTAGCCAATTGGCTTAATTAAGTTCGCTAAGCAAGGCTCAAATATGGTGGAAAAGGTTGCCAAAATAAAGGTTCCCATTGCTGGTTTCTATGGTGGAAAGCAGATGCATGGGCTCCGTCACGTGGAAGCAAGATTCCTGAAAAAACATATTCAAACAAAAATGGTGCTAGTATTCAGAATAAAGACATCCATGGGAGCAAGATGCCTTCTGTCCAGGGGCGATGAGAAAATCATATTCAAACAAAAATGGTGCTAGCATGCTTTGAATTTTGGACTTCACAAGCGTCTGTTGATCTTTTCAAGATACGACAAGCATGGACAGCAGAACACCATATGCAACTGCGCAAGTTTGATGGGCTTAAGTCGAATTTTGTGCAATTGTCGAAACATGTTTTTTCCCCACATCACTGTGTGGGGTTCTTGTTTTTCGCTTGGATCCCGCCGGGGGGTTCCCGCATCCTCCTCCTCCTCCGCCACCTCCTCCGCCACTCACTCACTCACTCTCTCCCTCCCTCCCTCCCTCCCTCACTCACTCACTCATTCACTCACTCACACTCACACTCACACTCACACTCACACTCACTCACAATCACACTCACACTCACAATCACACTCTCACTCACACTCACACTCACACTCACACTCGCAATCACACTCTCACTCACATTCACACTCACACTCACACTCACACACTCACACTCACACTCACACACACTCTCACTCTCTCACTCTCTCACTCTCTCACTCTCTCACTCTCTCACTCTCTCACTCTCTCACTCACTCACTCACTCACTCACTCACTCACTCACTCACTCACTCACTCACTCACTCACTCAACCAACTCACTCACTCACTCACTCACTCACTCAACCAACTCACTCACTCACTCACTCACTCCACTCACTCCACTCACTCCACTCACTCCACTCACTCCACTCACTCCACTCACTCCACTCACTCCACTCACTCCACTCACTCGACTCACTCCACTCACTCCACTCACTCCACTCACTCCACTCACTCCACTCACTCCACTCACTCCACTCACTCCACTCACTCCACTCACTCCACTCACTCCACTCACTCCACTCACTCCACTCACTCCACTCACTCCCCTCACTCCACTCACTCCCCTCACTCCACTCACTCCACTCACTCCACTCACTCCACTCACTCCACTCACTCCACTCACTCCACTCACTCCACTCACTCCACTCACTCCACTCACTCCACTCACTCCACTCACTCCACTCACTCCACTCACTCCACTCACTCCACTCCCTCCACTCACTCCACTCACTCCACTCACTCCACTCACTCCACTCACTCCACTCACTCCACCCACTCCACCCACTCCACCCACTCCACCCACTCCACCCACTCCACCCACTCCACCCACTCCACCCACTCCACTCACTCCACTCACTCCACTCACTCCACTCACTCCACTCACTCCACTCACTCCACTCACTCCACTCACTCCACTCACTCCACTCACTCCACTCACTCCACTCACTCCACTCACTCCACTCACTCCACTCACTCCACTCACCCCACTCACCCCACTCACTCCACTCACCCCACTCACTCCACTCACT